ATATTCCTGTACATTTGCACAGTCCCACAAATGAGAAAAAAAATGATATATGGTAATGTAGTGGAATGACTTAAATGACTGGACCGGCAATTCCTGGGTATTTCCTACTGAGGAAGGAGAGAGCAAGTAGAGGAAGAAGCAGCAGCAGTTTGGACTAAACCAGCCACTGAGCGTGATGATAAAGCTCAGGAAACAGGACTAATGGCCCCACCAGAAACCAGAAGAACTACTTTTCCAGCACTCTGGTAATGAAAAGATGAACTGCTGGAGACATACTGGGCACTCTGAGGTCCCTAAAATTATTTCTAGAGGGCTGTCTAATATGAGATCCTGGGTATGTTACTTTGAGCCATCTTATAATGTCCAGAGACAAAAATCAGTGTCCTGGAAGTTGGTGGTTACAGACCAACAGTCTGGATTTACCCACAGATCTATGCACATCTATCTACACATTTTTTCCATTTCTACTCCTGCTTTAAAAAAACCTAAATCTAGAAGGAAAAAATAGGTAACCTTGACTAGAAATAAGAAAATTAAAAAGAAAAAAGTAAATTTCTAAGACTCTAGACTAAAGAAATATTTTAAAAAAAATACAGAATGAGGTAATCTTTGGCTATACAGCTAGGAGGTTCAGCAGTGATATGAAGGCAGCAATTAAAAAATAAAAACAATGCATATCCGTACACAAAATAAGTAGTTGCTATAAACTTGATGTAAGAGAATACAATCTTGATAAGGAAAGCTTAAAAAGGCATGACTAACAAAGATAATCTATTAGGAACAAAAGCAGTGCTCAAAATGCAGTGGCGGCCTGTTGCCGACCATAAAAGTACTGGTGTTGGATATTTCTCCATTTAAAGCACGTGGGAGGATGTGTTTGCCACGCTGTTAGCGCCCAGGCAGAACAGAAACGGGACTGAAAATAGGCCCAGCTACTTCCCCTGCAAGGCCAGCTGGCTCTCCCCAAGGTGAGCAAACCTTTAACGGCTGCTGGACGCAGAGCCAGGCCAGTGGAGCCACAGAGGGCAGAGATGACAGCCCAGGTAAATACAGCTGGTTAATCTGACAGCAGGGATAGGAATCTGAAAACAGCCTCAGAAATCCATTAATAAAGAATTAAAGGCAAACATGCAATTAAAATCCATCAAAAATAGACCTTGTCATTCAACCAGGCTTAAGTCTAATAATAAAGATGCATCACCTGGCATGGCACTTGACAGGATACGCAATATTTACAGATAACTATCTACAATATAAAATTAACGATGCACACATGGAGTAAGATTGTCTCGCTGACAGATCTCAGTTTGCTGCTGTCCGTCAAACAGGGATGTTTCCTGTGAGAGTCTGCTCACATCACCGCTCGACCTCGTACCGTTTGGCGCTTACCAGTGATTGAGAAGCAAATCTAAAGCTGCTCCTGAACACGCTGGTAAGCAACAGCATGGTGGGAAAACACACAGAAAACCATGTATTGCTCAGTAAGGCAGGCCTGCCAGACAAAGCATAACTTAATTTTGCATTTAGCTGCATTAACACAAGGAATAAAACATTGTCCGCAGCTGCAGGAAAGGGGAGTCTGTGTCTTGGCTGTCCCCAAAAAGGCTGAGGGGAGGTCTAAAATTTAGCTCATCTGATGCTGAAAGGGTTATAAAACAGTCTTTGAGGGTATAAACAAAGAAGAATGTCATGCCTTCTGTAGAGAGCAAAGGGAGACGAATCTCCATGCCAGTTCTGATGTCCCTTCTGAAATGTCAAAAAATGCAAGGTCTGAGACACAGACGTTACAGAAATCTTGGAGAAAATTCTTTGTAGGGAGACTTAAAGCAGCCCTGTCTTCAGCGTATGGAGAAGGCCAACAGGCCTCGTCATCACTATGCAAACACGTCCAGGGAGAAAAGGCCAGGTACTGAAAGGGATTTTATTTTGCAGGCAGAGTACGAAGGAACAAAGGCTGGGAGCTGAGGGGAGACAGCACGAAGTGGAAAAAAGGCACATGCTTGTTACAGCAAGGGCAAGCAACTACTGGAACAAGTCAGCAAGGAACTTGTTGGTTTAAGAGTGTTTCTATTTAAAAGATTGTGTTTCAGAAAACATTTTTTTCCTGTTAGAGGTTGTAAGCCCAACACGCGTGACTCAAAACAGCCTGGCACTGCGGTGGAGTTGTAGCCCATTACATCAGAGGGAAGTACCACTTACCTTTCTGGTGGCAGCTCTGGTGACTCGTTTAGACATTAAAAAAAAAAAACCTTAAAAATAAAAAGCAAAATAAATGCAATTGGACAATGCAAAAAGACTTCTTTCAAGCAATTAATTGGAATTTTACCTAGAGGAGAACTTCCTGTAATGGCAGGTAACACATATCAGAGGTTTGCATTGTAGTTGGAGAGTGGCACTGAGTAGGTATGACCTAGGTTTGAGTCCTCAGTAACGGTGTGCCCAATTCCCAGCGACACCAACCCGCTGCTCTCACACAATGCAATTAAGTCACAAACACAAGTGTGGAAAGCAAACTGGCTGCCATCCTTCAGCTTCTTTTTTCTTCTCTTAAAACTACAGGTACACGCAAGGTATCCGGCAGGGAAGTCGCACACTTGATGTTGTTTGCATAGCAAGTAGTAATTTCTAAAGTTTCGTTGTGCTTTTATTTTCCAGAACAAGTTAACCAGCCTCCACCCAAGAAGGGGATTTGCAGCCCTCCAGCCCTTTGAAGATGTGAAGCAGGAACAGAAGGGCAGGCAGAGAATTTGTCACTGAACTCATGTGTAAGACAAGCAGCAGGTTGCTAAAAAGCCACCACTTGTAACTTTGTACAATAGCCACACACTGGGAACTAACAGATGTACACACACAGTGGGTGTAAAGATGGCAATTAATTGGTAATAACAAAGATATATAGAAAAATTAAAGTATTTGTAGTAGCTTCAAAGTAGTTCCATTTATGTATGTTTGCGGGGGGGGGGGGGGGCGAGTGAACCCCGGCACAGACCTGAGCTGCATCACGTTCAGCGATGCATGACTTGTGCTAACCTTGGTAAAGGAGACCAAACCAGATGAACTCCTTTCCCCTCTTCGGCCCCTGGGGAAGTCACCTACTGCAGCTCAGGCCAGCCTTGTGCCTGGCTCCGGGTGCAGATGGTACTGCCTGCAGGACAGCCACCCTGTCCCCTCTCAGGCAGCACGGAGCCTGCACAGCACGAACCGACACCTCTACCTGTCCCATGGCAAACCTGGAGCTTTAGGGAAGCATGGTTCAGACACACCTGAGGGGCTCGGTTTGGGCACAAACCAAGCTTAAGAGCTTCAGCCCAGCACTGCCTCCTCTGAAGCAGCCTGGACACCTTTGCTCCATAGCACTCCAGGTCTCAGGAAAGATTTTTAATGTTTATACAAGTTCCAACACTCTGCCCAACCCAATAAGCCTTCCCTGCATCTGAAGAGCTCAGCAGGCAGAGTGGGTTTACAGCTAATTAGCCTACCTGGACCTGCAGAGCCTCTTGGGCACGAGCACACTTCTCTCCCGGGTAAGCTCAGCCCTGCACGGGGATACCGGAGTGCAACGCACCCGGGCCCTGGCTGGCAAACTCCTCCCCAGCAGCGCTGGGGCTGCTCGGAGGAGCAATATCTTTCCTTAAAACCTCCCGTCACACGCCTACCACTTTGCCCAAACTTTATTAGTAAGGAAACTCAGCCTTGCACGTTAGAAACTTTACTCCAGTAAAGCACGCCATAGTTACAGTTTCAGCACACGGAAAGCCTAGAGGCTGGTTGCTGTTATTTAGTTAAATGACATTTTAATTATGCAGATGTTAAAGGCTGTACAGGCCTCCCCATGAATTGGGGCTTCTCTCTTCTTTTACAACAACATTTTAATTCCCATAGACTTAACACATGCTCACTGCAGACTCCAGATAGTTTACAAACAAAAAAGGTAACCACAAAGTCAAAACTAAAAATTCAGCAGAACAGAGTTAAACAACAATAAAAAGCCCCTCCACAGCTCCAGAGACAAAATAAAGCACCACAAACACCTTCGCTTGAGAAACTATTCCTTTCAGGCACATCAGTGTAAAGGCTGGAGCTCTATAATTTCAGTCCTTAAGTACACACACAGAGACTTCCTGAAATAAATTTAAGGACAACTAATAGCTAACAGCCAGGCACCACTAATTATTTAATTAATCATGTATTAAAATCTGCATGGAGACAGCTGAAAAAATCTGCCTCCAATGTAAACATTTCAGCATCAATATACAAACCAGTAATTACAAAAGACACCCTTCTCCAAAATCTGAATGAACTACTTCAACAGCACCTATATATATATAGGTACTTTGAGGTCTTCAAGGTCTGGTACACAATGAAGATCTTTTGCAAACAACTTTAATATCACTTATTTGTTTGCCATTACAGATATCTGTAATATGGATCTCAGACAAGCAAGTTTAACTAATTTTATGGTACCATTACAAAAGTGTGTGTATACATACATACACACAGAGGTGTAACATTTCCTTGTTACCTTCAGAAAAATTAATAAAAAGTAAAAAAACTGTAATGTAAGAGTGGCCTAAGGTTAATCAAATGCTTCAAATTAATGTCTTGAGAGAATGTTATTTGTGGGTGGCTATAAGCACTTTTAAAAACAATACCCCCATGGGAAGGACTCAAATAAGGCAAGAACTTCACAAACCAAACTGACAGAAATACCAAGCCTTTATTACAAAGAAAAAATATTCCACAGAAGAGGCTGGCTTGCTTCCATGCATGCTGTCAGTGCTATCCACCTGCTGAGTGTGGTGAAGTGCTAGATTCATTAATTCCAAAGCCTAATGGTGCCTTGGGTTCTCGGTTACAGGTGCATTGGCATTTTGATTCAACTGAATTGCTTGCTAGAATTTTGTTGCCAGCATTGAACAGGCCAAAATAATGAGCCTGACAGTTGGACAAGCCAAACACCACAAGGGAAGAAAAAAAAAATTACAAAAAATATAATAAATCACACACTGGGCACTGCTATCACTAAGAGAAGTCATATGACTTGCTTTACATCCATATTGTAAATAATTTCACAAGCAGGGAAATGAATATGCTTGAGTCTTATCTTCACTTGGGGAGCGTGAAGAATGTTTGCTGAATCCTTTTATTGGTACGTGCAAGCACACGGTCACGAAGCCTGAAAGCCAGCAGAACTAGATTGAATTAATGTTATCTATTGTTGTTTGGATTTTGAACAAAATTGATGGAGTATGAACCAGTTGATGAATCCTGTTTTATCTGGAAATTTTCTGTTGACAGGCCAAAGGGGCGGAGAACCAAATTCCCAAGATCCTTCAGTTTGCCTACAATGAAAAGGAGAGATAACGTAAGTGTTATGCCGAGGGAAACTCCCATTGAATTATGCTCAACTACACAGGCCAGCTCTACTAATTTAAGGTAAATCCTGTGGAAATCTCTGCAGTTTGTTGAATATTTAGGCTCTTACATGAATTAAAAAAAAGTATCTCAACTGTGATGTAGTTGCTGTCAGCTCTGGGGTTGAATAGAGATCTCCATGCTGGTTGGGAGCAGTGTGCCAGGCAGCCCTGATGAAGTGGCTGCAGCCAGTCATGGCTACGGTGGTTACAGCTCTCCAGAAGCACCTTATTTCCTCAGTTACAAGCTCTTGAGGCACAGGAGTGTAACAGGTCACAACAATGCACTAGCCTCCTCTACATTTACCCTTGGATCTAACTCTGATAGAAAAGTGAATGTTGGCAGCTAACACAAAGTTTTCAGTTCAGGTCAGTTTTGATGCCGCTAAAGCTCTATAAACAATCAACTGTGTTATAACCACTCCATTTCCTAGACTACCAAAAGAAACAACGAAAGCCAAAGTTCAAACTGCTCATTTGTAATTATTAAAAATCCCTTTCTAAACATGTATATTGATATAAAGAAAAATAAAGTCATCCTTGCAACTGTGTGTGCACATGCAAGCTAAGCAGTTCCACCTGAAGCATCCAACTTTACAGCCATTTTGCCCACAAAAAACTCAGCATGATGTCATGTGACATCATTAACTCACTTTCAAAACTACAGTTCTCCAGGACTAACTTAGCACTGCTACCAGCTCTAAGCAACTATTACTTAACAAGCATTGTTAAATATACCTAGGGTGTACCAGTTAATATCTAAAGGCTTCTATCAATATATGTGTGTATATATACATACTTGCCGACTCTAGAAAATGAGTCTTGCTACCACCTATAAAAGGGGAAGGACAACAAAAGGACATCCTTTTTTAAAAAATCGTATCTATATAGACACGATAAAATAGATAAAATGCATAATCTTGAACAAGAAGCAGAGGTAACAACTGTGATGTTAGCTAAACACAAGCTAACTGAGCCCCTAGCATGACAAGACAAAGGAGGAAGATGGTCAGTTTTCCAAGAAAAGCATTATTTTCCTCCTGGCTTGAGTGCAAAATTGTAGACTAATTTCCCAAAGAATAAACAGGAAAAGTTTTGACAAGTTGAAGCCTACCCTAGGTTTGCACCCACAGGCTGCACATCACCTTTCAAGAAGCCATCTACCTTTACTAGATCTTCATGGCAATGAATTTTGTTTTGCTGGGAGTTTTGTGCATGCACATGGTGGGGAAAAAGTGACGACAACAATAGCTAGCACACAGGAAATCCAGTTAAGCAACTGCAGTAGTCACAATCACGTAACTAAAATGTGAAAATGCCACACCTATTCCTACTTGTGTGTGTGTGTGCTTTCTGCAAGCCATCTTAAGTCATGAGAAACATCTCTGTTATTCTAGTCATCTTCATCTTAATTTCCATTTCTAAGCTAACATGTTAGAATCTAACTGCAAAGCCATATGCACACTCATCATTTAATTTCTTTGTTTTTCCTAAGTTCGTTTGTCCAAAACCCCTGTTTCTGCCCAGCAGTGCAATTGTATCACTACTGCTATTAAGTAAGTTTCCTCACTACTATGCACCAGCCAGAATTAAGTCCAGGCTTTGTTGCTAAGCCATACTGAAGCAGTAACTTCACAGCAGTGATAAAGAAGTGCAGAAACATAAGGAGCAAAGCCATACTTAAGTTCTTTACAGAAAGAGACAAGCAGTATTTATGTTGCACAATGGAGTACAAACAGATCAAGAGATTTGCCTTGCCTGACACCGCATGCCTGCAACCGTGCTCAAAACAGAAATCGTATCCAAGTCTCAACTTATCCCATGGAAGCAAGGCCCTTATAGCTTACAATCTGGCAACAGTTCAAGACAGGCTAAACACCACCACCACAAACCCAAATATGCTATTTTTTTTTTAATCACATTTCCAAAACTGAATTGGGGGCAGGGGCAGCTTATTTGAACATTTTCAGAGAAAATACAAAAAGAAACAATAGCTGGGAAAAATGTAAACATTTTAATCTAAGGAACAACTCAGTCCTGCATAAAGAAACTAACAGCTAGCATTACTACAGTACTCCCGAATATACCAAAGTAATTAAGATCTTGCATCAAAGTGCTGGTTCACAACTGGGTATCTTGACCAAGCAAGATTGGTCTTTGAGAGTCAACATGGAAATTCTGTGAACTTATACACAAAAAAAGACCACCTTAGCCTACAAAAGCAGCTATTTGGTGAGACAGAATTTTTCTTCAATTTGATTTTTTTTTTCTTCACCCCCCCCCCCCCCTTTGGATTAACAGATGAGGTGGTTGAGTGATCTGGCCAAAGTCATTCCAATGAATGGCTTAGCTAGGATTAGCTGCTTTGTACAGGTGGTGGTGGGTTTTTTTTTAAACTACACCCTGTTTAAGCTAAGTTAAGTTCATAATTTTATACTGCATCCTAAACCCATTTTGGTTATAAAACTATAAAGTTGTTCACAGCATTTTTACAACTGGGATGAATAGTTGCAATTGTACCTCTAGGCAAACATTTGGTCATTGCTTAGCTTCAGGTTCGGGGTGAGAAGTGTCTTTGTCCACCAGTCGCAGAGTCCTGGCATAGTCTGGCATTGCTAGAGCCAGTTGTAAACAGTTTGCAAGTTATCCAGGCACTGCAGCTGGCTCATGAGCAGACAGACGAGTTTGCCTGTTTCAGGAAACTGTGAAAGGTCTTTTCTAATTGGAGTTAGTATGATGGCTCTTTCCGGTCACACTGGAGCCAATAAACACAGAACAACTGTCTTGGTATTCTTGCTTGTAGCTAGGCCAGCTCTGTGGGAGAAGCTAAAGACTATATGATGTATTTAATACTTTATTCTTCATCTCACTGTGACTGAATAATTAAAACAATACAGTCATAGGTCACCTTCCTGTTCTATCACTTAAATCCACATACAGCAATGCCTTTTGGTGCAGCCACATTTAATAAATTGTTAATGAAGCACAAGAAAGCCTTGCCTTTTCTGGGAACTCAAGCCTAAAGCACTGCTCCTGCTGTCTTGGCACACATAAACCCATCATTGTAGGAAAGCATTATTTCCTCCTCCCCCACTCTCTTCTTTCATCCCTAAATTAAGATCTGTAGTTAAGTCCAACCTCCCCCTCCCCCCCAAAGAAAAGCTCTCTTAAAACAGAGACTGTGCCTCAAGGAAGGAAAAAGGCATGTGGAGCTGTGACTCAGCTGCAGAGTTCTCAGCAAACACTCCCTTGTCCCTGAGCAGGGTCACATTCTCCTCTCTGAGACCATATTTTCATAGATCTTGTTCTTTATATTTTAGAAAGCCTATGTCTACTTTCCACCTGGAACTCCAGCACATTAAGTTTCTTCAGCAAAGCAATATTCAGAGGTTAAAAAGAAAACTAACTGGTAAAAATCAATTTAGAGCTCAGAAGTCTGGGATTCATTACTCACCTAAACTGTAACATCCTGTTGCAAAAGGCAGATGCACAAAAAGATTTTTCACTATTTACATTAAGATGTAACAGCCAAAATTAATTGCTATTCAGTCTTTCTGGCAATAATTCTAGTATAGCTGCTAGTGTTCATGTGGCATTCAGAAGTTGAAAAACGATATATTGTGTTAAGAATTTTTTTGGATAAAAGACAGATTTCCTGATGAGGTCTCATCTTTGCATAACTTTCTGTATTACCAACAGCATTTCTTAGGCAATTAAAAAAGCGAGGGCAAATCGTTTCCCTTCCCTAAATGGTAAGCGAGGACTGAACTAAAAGTAACTATATATGAGCTCTGGTTTGACTATTTAAAGTGACATCCCTATATGCAATATTGGGGTTTAGCAGCTTAGTTGCAAATACAACATACCCTTCAGTATCCAAAAAAAACAAAAAGAAGAGACTAATTGTTTAGGCACTAAACCTAATAAATAAATGATCTCACGTACCTGGAACAATCTCTTATTGGCAGAAAGGCCCACGTAAGATGCTCTGATAGTTCTTCCCATTAATCACATTGATAATCAAGTACATTTCACTATTTTCTGGAATACACTCATTTATAACTTAAGCTGAAAGTCCCAGTATTTTTTTAATTAGATTTAATGAACTCTGTATGTAGAAGATGGGTTACACAGATTGGCATATGTTCCATCCCTTTTTTTTTTTTTTTTTATATCCAATATACTTGGCTCCCCTGTAGCCATGCAGAAAAATGTATTATCATCCTAGCCCCCAAGCTGCTAAACCTTGCTAAAACTATTCCAAACTTCCCCTCTTCTTACACCCTCTCCCCAAAGGAGATGGTCCTAGTTATCACAATAATTAGTTTCTCTAAACAAGACTAGCCATTGCACAATAGCTAGAAATCTTTGGCCTTAAAGTCAGAAGAGGAATAAAAAAGAACGCAGAAAATGGTCAGTAGGTGTTCACATCCTGGGCAATTACTAAGGCACAGGACACTCACATTATGAAAGCGTAAAGGGAAAAAGCCACATGGATTTAAAAGCTACATTCAAAGCGTGCTGTAAATTAAGCTTCCTTTAATGTGAGACTCAGAGGTTAGTTCAGACTGAGCAAACTTCAGCAGCAGCACTAACCTGCGAAGGCTGAATGGAAAATATGAAAATAAATACAAATGCCAGCTTTAGAAAAGTTAGACCCTTGCAGAACACAAAGCAGAAATGAGCTTAGTTTGGCAACAAAACGTGCTCTTTCTAGTGACATCAGCTTCCCCAATCACATGCACTACCACTTGCACACAAGAATTCATAGTTAGGTAGTCTGGAAGAAAAATCCAGCCAAGAATGTGTGCTCTGACTTATTTACACACGATCACTTAAGAAGTGGTTTCAGCTTCTGACAAACTATGAGGCAATGAGCTGTAGCACTGGAAAACAGGAAACACACTTGGGAAAGGAGGAAGATGCATTCCATTTATTTTGATTTGTTTGTACACAGCTCCAGTTTTCATGGCAGTGTTAGTTAGTTGGGTATACCAGGACTTAGTTTTAGTTGAAAGAATAAAAGCCTGGAAAAATGATGTTACTAGCTGATTCATTGACTAAAATAAGAATTCAATTCAATATCCAAACTTCAAAGGAGCCAAAGCATGAAGTTCTAAAAATTTTGTTAGTTATTAATTAAAGTTTAGTGTCAGTGCTCCTGGCCTAGTCTCGAACTATTAGGATGCATCTGACTTGCTCTCCTGGACCCAAAAAATCTGAGGTACAACCCTGAGCTGACTGCCCTGTGAGATGGCAGGGGAATGAATCCTTGCACATCTGGCACTTTTTAACCAGTAGTCAGCTAATCTAACAGATTACCACAAGCACTTGTCTATTCTGACACAGTCCTCTGTAAATAGCATTAACAAAGTTCTTGAAAAAGAGAAGTTGAAACAGCTTAGAACAAATACATTGTACAACAAAAACAATCAAAAGAAATCTCTTCACCACCACACTGTATTAGGTTTGTTGTCTTTCACTCCTTCCACAACCCCCATCTAATCCCCCTTCTTCAACTGTAAGGGTTTTTCCTTGACCTCAGACAGAACAGCAGCATTTTGTAAACCTTGGGAAGTATTTCCTTTCCAGCCCTTCATCATTAGATCCATGACATCATTGCTTTCCCTCTTACTGACAAGATCCAGGGAATTTTATAACCCTTATAATTAGTCTGGTTACTGCCTGTATTCCTAACTTAATTTCAAGTGTTCTATTAAGAGAATGTATTATAGAAAAAAATCCTCAATTTGTGTTACACTAGTGATCATAAGCAGTGCTAAGAATAAAAATACTGCCTGCCCAACTGACACCACATATTTTTAATGATACAAGTGATATTTTATATGAATCCTATTACAGGCAAAGGTTGTGGATGAACATAGGATTATATGCTGTACTACCCAACTCTCAGTCTGGTTTTCCTGGCTGTTTACACCAGCAAACATCAGTGTATCTGCTTGCATGTATGTAACATCACTAAGAAGCGATTCCTTTCTCGAGAATCCCAACACAAACAGCCTGACCTGGTTCCCAAAAGACCAGTTCAGTTCTGAAATCTTAACTGCCACTGGATGAACACTTTTGAAAAAAGATCACATCTAGTCTGAAAACTGGGCAAAAATTAGCAGCACAGAACTAGGTTTGTAACGACAGTTTATAAAGCTGAATTTATTATTTCAGTACAGTCCCTTGTGATTAGTGAGGCCCTTTAGACATCAGTAACAAGGGTACAAAGGGAGAGATCAAAAAAGATCAGGAATTGTTTTCATATTACTTTGTGTTAAAACCCATCCTGTGTCCTACAAATGGGCATGATCCTTCTGGAGATTTTCTGCATTTGTCATTTATTTATAGCACTATCACAAGTAACCTTCTTTATTTATGGCTTAGGTACAATGGTGGAAACTGAATCTGATGATGTAGCTCTAGAAAGCATTACTGTAACTTTACTAGGTCAAAACAGGTACAAAGCGAAAGCAAATCAGCCTCTCTGCACAGCCAGAAAAAAAATAAGTTAAAAAAAATCAGCTTCAGCATAAGCCCTTGGAATAGCCTCTTCTTCCCAAATATTTTAAGAATTAGTGTTACACTATGCAAGACAGACTGAGTTTAACCCGATTCTCTGCAGAATAGCAAAACACTGTCTTCCCCTTTCCCATCCCAAACCCTCAAAGCCTACTCATCTTAAAATAGCATTTCATCTACTACTTGTCACACCTAGAATAAGTAAACAAGTAACTATTGAAAGCAATTTCTGAAAGAGGTTAGGTACAGTTAGTTTCTCTTTATCATATGCTGTTGTTTGTCCTTGCTCTTTTGTGTGGATTGTCTAAACAGTACAAATGAAAAGATTATATAAAAAAACCCCTCATTTTAAAAAGCACCAGAATGTCAGATTGACTTAGGTAGTGTCTGAACCTGTAAGAATTAAGAAACCCTGTTAACTAGGAGACAGTAGACAATGTTGACATCAGTCTTTTTTTGGGCAGGAGGTTGCCCCCAAAACTGTAACACCGAGTGGTGCAAGGGAGTGCTTTATACTTAATATTACACATGAAAACCAATCTTTCTTGGGCAATCTTACTTAAGTAGTTATTCTTTTGAAATACATCAATCCAGTTAAGATATTATCCAAGCAAAACCATACAACATGATGATGTGGGCACATACATTCAAATGAGATATTAATTACATTCTCTTTTCTACAAAGAAGTAGAGTCAATAGTGTGCTTTGGTATAAAATTGTAAAAAGTGAAGAGATTACGAGCTACACTGTTAGGAAATCTAATTCCACTCCTAGCAAGGCCAGGTGCCTGTTTGTAACACTAGGTAGGTCTAATTCAGCTTCCACACAAACAGAACTGAAATACTATATAAATCAAGATAAACGTGAAGACTTGGAGGTCTATGGGTTGGAAGTGCTACAAAAAGAATCAAATTTATTTCTGCAAATACAAGATCAAACATGGTCCATTATTACAGCTGGTTGACTACTTTTACGTAAAGGTTTAGTGAAAACCCCATTTCATCCCTTTCATTGGAATGTTGCCTTTGAAGGTTTACTTGCCAACAGAAAGGGCAGAAGCCGTTGGTCTGTTTCAAACCATTTCCCCCTGCTTTTACATGCATCAATATTATATTGGTTTAGACGGTCTTGAGTATTTCTTTCTTTAACTGTGCCTCTTCTGTATGGGAGAATTATTTGGCTAGAATACTTACTGTAGGTGAAACCAAGCAATAGAGAACTACAAAAAAATCAGGAGTTTAGTTTAACATAGAACAAGTATTTCCTTTAAGATTTACCTTCCTTAAATTTTCTACAAGAGATTCTACTCGTGCATTTCTGCTTTTCTAGTAGACCATGAAGATTATTATGCAAGTTATATGTACACGGTACTTACCTAACATTTCTTTCTTTAATTTTTCATTCCGCTCTTCAATTTGTCTAGGTAATCGCTGCGGAGAGAGATAAAAATTGGAATCAGACCCATGCTTTCAATAATACTGTAGGTTAAGCTTAGAAAATTTTCATACGCATACCCAGGATACAGTGTTTATGGTTTAAAAGCAATCCTTATGTCAAACCACACTTTCATCTTATTTTGGAAACCTGTAATTCATCCTATGACATCAGTTCACATAAACACTAAGTCATAACTTCTAAGTGCAGGTTTCATACAGGCATACATTTTTTACTGCTAAAAAACAGATCTGATCTGTTTTCTTGGAATTTTAACTAAAAAGCTTATGAAATTTAAGAGACTTACAATTAAAGTATATTTTAGCCCTATTTCCTCTGCTGCATGCATTAAATTTGGTAAGAGAGGCTAGAGGAAGTAAGCAAGCACAGCATCTGACTTCTGAACGTAAACACAGGTGTAATGAGAAAGCATCCATAAAGTCATTTCTTAGCAGCATCACGATTCAGGGAAATCCACACTGTGACAACATTAAGATCTTCTAAATACAAATATTTTATCAGAAGATCACGGAATTAACTGTCTATGAATTTCAGGACATAGTTTGATGAGCAGCATCTTATTATGCAATATATGGCATAGTTCTAAGGAGGACAGGGTATTACAAATTAGGGCCTTGATTTGGCAGTTCCTCATGGGGAGGGAACGCTGACAGTTCATCCTGAGGAAGGTACTAGTCCAAGAGGACAGTTCCTTAACATGCTTTTTGCCTTCTCAGAACTGGCACCAGTGTTAAAATCTGTTGCACCATCACAAACAAACTTATCACATGGTTCTAGTGAGCATTACGTAACTGCATGGTCTGTATTCCTAATGATGTGAGATTCCCATTTATGCCTAGAACAGCTGTGACACATCTTCCATCCTTACATGGTACTGGTGTTTTGCTATATGACTGTAATGATCATTTTTAATTAGAACTTTATATTCACTACAACTAAATTCACCATTGTATCATTTAAATTCGCATCTTCTATACATCAGTTAAATACAATATTAAACCAAAATATATTACGAATGCAGTCACTTTTTATACATCTTTTTCATATTTTTCAGAAGTACTATTTCAATCTTTTATACTATGCTTATTACTGTATAATTCTGGCAGTTCAGCATGCCATTATATGCATAACTATGCTGTCTCTTCTTGTGGAGGTCATAGCAAATAAGACAGAGCTGCTGTAATGGTGCTATCAGTGAATTAATTACAGTTGCAGACTATGGTAACAGGTGTGGAATTCACTCCTGATACACTTCCCTTGTGATAATTAACTTCTCAACATAGTTAAAGAATTCATTTCCTAATCTTGTTCCTTCCTGTCATTTATAGCTCCAGTCATCATGGATAGGTTTGTCATCCTGATATTCCTGCCACAGTGAAATAAGATGTTCACCTCAAGAAAAAGCCCACTGACAAAGCTGCCTGGCTGTTCCTCTCCAATGCAGGATACGCCGGTGAACACAGGTAAATACACTTCATTTTCTATAGTGATGGGGAAGAGAGGTGGTATACCCCAGAAAAATCCCAGTACTAAGGAACAGAAGGCAGATATACATGGATGGCTAAGCTCAAAACCAGCCCAGGCCCAGCATCACCACCAGTGAGCCAGATCTAATTAGCCCAGTCAGACCTCATCTGACTCCTGCTGACCCAGAGGGGCTTATTAAGTTGGGTGCAGATCGGGACCTAAGCTGCCTGCATGAAAACATGTGTAGATATCCCCAGGCGCTAAATTCAGTTTGCATTGTGGCTGTGAGATTTGCTGAATCTTGGATGAGTTTGGCATATATAGTGCATGTCTCTCACATTTGGACATTAGACTCTAGGAGGAAATGAAGACACAAATCCTTAATTTGAAACACACGCTCCATGTTTTGTGTGTCTGAATGCTGCTATTCCAAAGACCTAGCATTTCTCACTCCAGAAATGTACTTGCAAGGTTAGTTATCCGTAGAAAAGTGTCCATAAGGACAGCTATTTACCTGGTGTCTATGATACTTATCTCAAAGTACAGCTTTTGGTAAATAAGTTTATCTGGCCTGCCAATCCCTCAAACTTGTTGAAGCTAAAATTCACACAACACTGTTGCACGCATGCTAAAAACAAAACCTAAAGATTCATACTTTATAATAAACACTTTTTGGGAAAGCATCGATAGGGATTATTTGACCACAAAAGACTGTAATTTCAAACTGATTTGGCATTGAAGATGTCAAAAGTAACTGAAGTGGGTGACACTAGGATTTAAATCAGAACACTGGCACTGTACTCCTGAAATATAAGTAGTATTTAGTTTTAGAGCAGCTACCAAATCAGGAATCAAAGCAAAGAACTACTGTGTATTTAATATTTTTAAACTGTCATTTAACAAGATCATGGCATTTCCTAAAGCAGTGTGTGAAATATTTTGTATGTACAGGAAGGTGAAAGATTTGCTGTAACAGTGAATGAAGCCAATTTTCAGATTCTCTTGCTGCATCATTTTCATTATCAATGAGGAGGGAAAAATGCTGCTTCCTGGTCTTCTACATATTAGATACGTTAACCACATATGTAGAATCAACATTACAGCTGAAATGGTTTTTTTATTATGAAATTTAGAGATTTATGAATTTATAGATTATATTATAAAAAGCGTAAAACTAGCTGTCAGTATTTCCTTAACAATTTTTCAAGAGGCGAATTTTAAGCTTAAGTCTCAAAAGATTGCTTCTACCCTGAAACTTGACAGAGAACAGGACCAACTTAGGGCAGAATGTCCTAAATCCCACTGCAGTGTAAATTGAGGGCATTTGTACAAAGTGTTCTGGACCACATGTGAGTGTAAAGCTGACTAAAATGAGGTCAAGGAGCAGAAGGTATATGCAACAGTCAACCTCTGTACTTCCCAGCTATGAAAATTAAGAATAAATTACTAATCATTCTAAAACATTCTTGAAAGATGGCCAGGAAGAACAGCAGCACTGATTCTCTTCTAGCCCAAATCTCCACTGGGTACTGAGCAAGGGCTCTTCTGTGAGATTATTAGAGGCATATTCACTGAAAGAAAATTGTGGTTTTGCAAGAGGTATAAAGGGCAGTATCTACACTTTCAGGGGGCTCCAATCAGCCAAAATACATCTATTTTAAACTCCTTACATTTTGTACCGACTACTGACAGTGTTCCCAAGTCTTAATCCATGGAGTCCTGACTGGTGGTTCATAACAATCTGTCTGATCTGCACAGTTGTTCTTTGTATGATGCACTCCTAAAAATGCACTCCTTATACACTAATACTATTTTACCAAGTAACTGACTAGATTACACTAGGCCTCACTCTGGAGCTAGTCTAATGCTAAAAGACTACTAGCTACAGAAACTAAACCCCTTTGTTTCCTTTATAAATGTCAGCAGACTCCTTGGCTGAATTCCTGGATCAAATAAGCCATAGTCTCAACTAGGAGACTCTAAACAAGGCCAACACAAATATTCTTTTCTAGACTGTGATGGACCCATCACATTCACTACCCATGCAGTAATGATGTTTGACAAGCTTGTCATTTATTAAGCCATTGCCAAGAGCTAGGTGATAAAGTGTTCTCCTGCTCTCAACCAGATGCATGCAACAAGCATCAGGGGGTTGTTTCACAGTACAATAAACTGACCTTGTCAGTCGGTGCTGCCAAAAGGGATGGCCCCGATTCCTGCACTGCCTTGACCACGTCTTGTTTCCTCCTCGCTAGCATTTGCAGTAGGATTTGTCTGACTGCAAAAAGCCAAGGCAATATACAAGTATTTAACTTTGGGGTTTTTTGGTTGCTGGCTTTTTTGCTCACTCATTGCTGTTTTTCCCTTTAGCAGAGATAGTTGTCTGCCAGACTCGTACATAGGACCAGCCATCCCCTAGGGTCAGACTGAGCTAATACCAGCGCTAGCATAAGGAGAGCAACTGGACAGCTTTGTCAGCAGCAGGCAGGCAGTAGATCAGTTTAGCTGTTTTGTGAAACCATACCCTTACCACTAACAGGAGTTACACAGTTAAGCAGAGTATTTTTCTGCCATCAGGGCAACTGATCCAATCCCAAAGGAAGTAATTTCAGGCAAAGCTTCCTGTTTAATATGCTATAAAAGCAGTTTCTAATCTGTCACTTACAACACTACAGTATGAAGAAGGGGGGGTACATTAAAAATAAATAAATAAATCACCACTAATGACTTATTTTCCCAAGTGGAGAGTTAAAACAATTAAACCCAGGCCGTTCAAAAATACTTCTGTATCAACGTATTCAAAGTGGTTTTAGAGATAATTTTGTGGGTGAAGCAAATGATTTTTTTTCTTCTTTATGGAGCAGAATACATTGCAGGTTCACTGATGTGAAGCTGAACAAAAATAATGATGCCCTTTGAAAATTTAACCAGATGCAAATAAAATCAAGTATTGGCACATGGATTTGGGTGCCTAACTAAGAACTATGCTTTAAAATTGCATCCATTTACCTTAAAGTGGTAAATAGTTCAGCTGTAGTTTTCCCTGCAGAAGACCAGGCTCTCTAGTACTTGCGAACCATTCACCTATCCTGACCTGAAGCTCCCACTTCGATAAAAAGTGACCGCCACTGTACTTTTTATAGTGGCTAACTTTCATTAACACATGTTCCTTCAAAACCACAGGCTGGCTGGCCACATCTCTACCACATTTGTCCTTTCAACACAGCCTTCATAATCTCTTTTCAAAAAGAAGAACAGCAAGCAGCCTGTAAGAGGAGCTTTCTGCACAAAATAAATTTCCCTTCTTGCTACCCTTGTGAAAAGACCCTCTGAACTTGTCATATCCACAGCTATTTTCCACACCGAGCATTAACATACTAAAAATCACTAGAAAAAAATCACTTCCTGATGGTATTTTGCACAAAGAGTTATTTAAAGCCTCAAATCAGCAGGCTGTGGCAATGACTTTAAATCCCCATTGAATAGGGATTATTTACATGTTAGATTTGGGTTTCAGGAAGTGCTAGAAGTTTACCTTTTTTCATCCAACCTGACACATCCTAAAGGGCAAGGAAACTTTTAAAAGCATTGGCTGACACTTACAGCGATATGGCAACGATTCTGTAAGACATGTTTAATCCTGAAATATTTGTAATTTGACTGAAAGTGGACATTGAAACACAGTACTAAGCTGCAGAATTTTTTATATATATATATTTTTTTTTTAGAATGAAGAAAGTAACTGAATCAGGAGAGAGTGCTATTTGCAACCACAAGGTGCCCTTTTCTTCAAGTGAAAGGCTAAGTTTTTGAAGATTAATAGCAGACTTCAGTCACTATTAGTAAAATAACTCCAAATGGCCAACACACACAAGGGACAGCAAAGAACAAAACCAGAAAACAGCTAAATCAAGAAACAACAATATCAACATCTTAAAGTAGCTACAAACATAGATACAGACTGATAGAATCCCATTTCTGCCATTCTCAAAGTTATATAATCAGGTCATCAAAAAAGTAATTAATTTATAATTATGCCATAAAAGCATTTGACTGCTAATTTACCAATCAGAAAAATAATTCTACTGAAGGAAAACCAGACTCCCACTAATTAAACAGCTAGCAAGAACTATATTATAGGGTGCTTCTGATCTCCAAATTGCAGATCCTTAGTGAAGTGATGGCTACTAAAACACAGCAATGGTTCAAGCAACCTTTTCTAGCACATGCGTAAATACAATTAACATCCTCAATCACAAAACTAGAAGGAAGTGCGCGTGTGTGCATGCACACGCTATTCAACAGCTAGGTGTGTAATTATATGCTTACAGCTCAGAACACACGTTTACTTTCACTCATTTTACAAAAGTAAAAGAGGACTACGCTTTATGGACCTGAGACTTGTCACGGAAGTTGTGGCAGTTCATGTAATCTTCCTTACGTAAAACCAGATGAGAAAACTACTACACGTTCAGACTTGGCAAAAAGTTTTCACCACTGCATATGAAGCTGCTTGCATAAACAGCACTGAATATTTAGAATAGGAAAGAAAAGACCTTGGTTTAAAGTTAGGCCAAAGTACACTAAAAAGGCTTACCATGCAAGCTTCTCTGGCTTGATGAACTGATGGGTCTTTTTCTAGGACTGCCTTATAATCTTCCAGAGCTTCATCTAGTTTTTCTGTTTTTTCATATAGTTCTGCTCTCCTCAGTAAAGCTCTAATGTAGTTAGGATCTAATTCCACTGCTAGAAAACAAAACCAAAGCACTGTACTGAAACATTTTTACACCCTTCAAATTCTTAAGTGTGTATAAAAATAACTATTAAGAATTTAATAATGTAGCTTAGAAACAAGAAGAGTCACAGTTTAAAAGCTAAGCCGTAATTCAGAAAGGCATAGATCTGCCTGTGAAAGTCTAGTGCAAATGATCGTATTTCATTTAACATCTACAATCTATCACAGACATAAGTGATTTATAATGTACAACCATTTAATTTTGTAATACTATACATGCAGAGAATCTAAGTGATGCTTCAGAAATTTTAAGGACCTATAAGATATTTTTCAGTTTTTCTGTCTTTAATAAGTGTATATTATTAGATTACAGCTAAAGTTAAATATACCTAAAGATACATATAGCTTATCTCAGTTCTAGTTGAGACAAACTCCAGGTGAACTACTAGAGCTCTTCTCAATTTACTCTAATATCAATCAGTCAAAATTGGGTTGGGAATCCACAAATGGTTATATTAGCTCTACAAATTAGGAGAGAGGCATACTGACTGAATTTAAGTTTTTCCTCTCCTTATTCCCTTGGCAGCCATGACCGCATTTACAGATGCGGTTAAGACTGAATTCTAAACTTAACAGTAACCTGCAAAAGGTAATTTCTCAATAATTTCTTCATCCATTTTTCATCACAGAGAGAGTATGAAAGACTGCCCATTTTATAATTACTAACCCATTAAAATGGTTCTTGGGACAATTAAATCTAGGATTATCTAGCTAAATATTCTAGCTTATTTCTTCTGGAAGGACAAAGACAATGCTACAGTCAGCAAGTTGCAGATTAGTGTGAATTGCTCTGCTGTGCTCCAAGTGTTGCATTGCAGTTTGTAAGCCAAGTCCCTGGGGAGTGTCAAGCGATGGTAGGTGTAAGTCTTACTGCTGCAAAGCAAACCGATTCCTTTCAGCCACTGCAAAATTAGCAGAAGTGTTTTTCAAAATGCCCCACCACCAAAACAAGGCAAAACCCCAAAGTGACATAGGCCAGATAGAATTTGTTATCTTCAAGAATACTTTTAGCATGTGTAAACTCTTATTTACTGTACAGGCAGTGCTGGCACACAGCCATTGGATTAGTTTTCTGATGGGTAATTTAGACTTTTTTCCCCAGCTGTCATGGGGAATGTAACAAATATTTGAGCCTGGGTGAGTTGGTGGAAGCAATAAAGCAATGCACAGCTCAAATTATTTCACCAGAAGTTTCAGAGAGAAAACTGTGCAGAACAAGAACATGAGAGCATAAGCCCTTGTGACAAAGCAAAAGCCTTGCATAAAAGGGACTTGAAAATGCTTTTAATTCTATAACGCCTCACGGTTCTTTGGAATCTGGGATTAAATCAAGATTTGGGGGGCAATGGCAGGTGGAAGTGGGTTTAAAATAGTAGGTGCAAGGAAACAGCTTCCATAATAAAAAGATTTTCCTATTAAAAAGAAGTACAAACACCAGCCTTATTGGCAGAAGAGAATAGAAAGTAAATTATTACAGACAGGAAAAGTTTGATAGACATTTTACAAAATAAATAATATAAATAATTCTAGATTCCGGTGTCTTCCACCACAGCTTTCTATAAATTCTTTAAAGACCCTTATGCCCCCAACTACAGCTCTGCAGTAAGGCACTAACTGGTGTAATTTATGTATGAAAGATCTGGCACAAGAGCAGCACACAGAAAGAAATGTTGTACCTTTGCTGCAGTCACTTAGGGCAGCTTCTGTCTTGTCCTAGAACACAAAATAGTTTTGTCATAGTTAAGTCACATTTCTTGGGAAACAGATTATTTACAACTGCAAGCAAAAAGGTTTGTCTGGCATTCCAAGGAACTGGGATGTTCATGTAATCAAGGCTTTTCATACCATTGCTTCTGATGTAAAGCTCTTTACCAGTGATTAGCTTCCTCTCTGCGAAGGCTGCCAGTGTTCAAATTGCACGCCTGCCCCACTAATCGGGTCTGCACTGAACAGCCGGCAGCAAGCTACAGTCAAAAGGCTGAGTCACATCTGCAGGCCTTGGCTTAACTGAGCTACAGCTTTTCTACCTTTGTCAAGTAATTAAGGGGTTGGAATACATGGTTCCCAAGACTCCCAGCTAAATTCTTGTCTGTACGAGCTAAGACGTTTGGAAAGCGGACACTGCCTTTAGCACTAATACAGCTTTCTCTACAAGGGACAACGCTTGAGACTTCCAGAAGTGGTAGGGACAAGATTTTAGTGCACCAGACAACCATGGTTAGAAGATGAGAGCCAGGCAATCTACTTATAATGAAACAAGAAAGGAAAAAAAAAAAAAAAGCAAGAGAGCTGAGACAGAGTTCCTATTTTCATCCAAACTAAAAGGGCTTAAAAAAAATAATCAGGCTGTTCTGTGCTTGCATTGTTGATCTAAGTAGTAGTAATCTTTCTACATCCAAGGAATTATTTTCTCCTCCATAAAACAGAAGCTCTCTCACAGAAGAATGCCTCACCAGCCTTTATTCTAGTGCAGAGCAAATGGGTGCAGCAGGTATAGAAGAGCAAACTCAATGGGCAAGTTAATAATATGAATCTATTTTCAGAGTAATGAACTGGTCTGTCAGGTTCCACTGATCTATACTGGTGAGATACACTAGTTTGTGCACAGTTCTTTTATCATCTTGGGCTCCTTTGGGGACTATTGGATTAGTTTCCCAGTGATATGAATAGTTAGCATCTGGATTATGAGGAGGTTTTTCAATTTATAGCTTTCATATTTTAAAGGTTCCAGCTTCTGTTATTACAGATTCCATCCCATTTTTCCCTTGTCTGCTCAAACAATTCAGTATCCCAACAGCAAGTTAGATAATTCTAGCTGAAGAAGAATACTCTATGCTGAGTAAGAATTTATTTATTTAGGCCTAAACATGGCTGCAAGGTACATTTCTAAACAGAGCGGTATCTCTCTCAATAGTAGAGGAAAACTGCAAGAAAGCTCCCTTTGCAAGAGGGTAAACTGAGGATAGGAGTTACTGTGCTATTCTTCTATAATAATTTAATCTTAAAAACAAAGGCAAAAATAGGGAGTCATTTCTCCTGAATTCTTAGTATCTCCTCTTTCTAAAGAAGTGAATGTTTCTGTTCAGACAGATTGTGTGCTATGCATTCCAATGCTAACTGCATTGCTGACTCTGGTAACATCTGGGCACCTGTCCCTGGTCAAAGAATAGAAAACATATGAAGAAAGCTGCAGCCATTCTATCCAGGCCGTGCCCTACTATATAGGTATGTCCTATTATATAGCAACTGTGAAGGAAGCAGACTAACTGAATTAATAAAGCCATAGTTAGGAAGTCCTGCCTATGCCTCAAAGCATTTGAGCCAATTAAACAAAGACAAGTATGTGACAATCCAGGCTCTTAGAAAAAAAACCACTAACTAGCTACAATTCTGAACAATCTAATACATGGTCTGCATACACTAAACATGCTTAAAGACATCTGTTCCACATGAACTTTGAATTTCATTAAAATAGAAAGAGTGAAAGAAAAATCAGTGTTTTAAACATAATGCAGAGCAACTTTGAACAGCTGTTCGAACTGCAATTTTCAGGTTTGTATTCATCCTCAGTAAAACCAAGTGTACCAGCATTGCTACTGGGAGCATGACAGACTGAGCAAGCAGCAAAACCTGCAAACATCTTGTTCCTTTGCCATCCTTTATGCACCCCTAATGACTTTATTAGTGCATTTGTCATCTACTCAATACATGGTGTTTCAAAAAATAAAAAGAATATTCACCTGTTTCATTTTTGCAGCAGCTCTGTTTGAAAACAAAACAGCCCTATCTTTTTGGAAGCAGGCTGGACAAATCTGCAGAGCCTTCGTATAAGAGCCTTCTGCCTCTCCATAGTCTGCAGAAGCAACAGGAAAAAACCGAAACAGACCATTTATTTCAAACGCCAGTACAGTCAGTGAACCACATGGCCAAGATTTCTTTGGAAACATTTCTCAATATATGATGCAATATTAAACAAGAGTCAGTAGCTGCTCCCAGACAAAGTGCATTACTAAGTAGTACATAGATCAATGACAATTTGTTATTTCAAAATCAACACCCTTGTAAAAGCAGAAATATATTCCTAAACTTAATGTAACAAAGTGCAGCATGATGCGCATATAATTCTCATCCCTGAAATTGCTTCATTCTATTTGCGTACCAGCCTTAGAGGTGGAGTGTTTTTAGATTAAATGTATCCTTGATCTGATAGGAAGCATGTGCTAAAACATGTCACTGCACCAATACCTGTTCAAAGCAGCTATGGAGATACTTCATTTGCCACATCATCTTCAATGACTGACTTAAAGGTCAGTCACCACAAATCCATTATCACCTGAAGGTCATCCATCATCAAGTCTGGTCTAAAGCAAGGATGAGTGGTAAACCACCTGGGATTACTAAGTTATTCGTTTTGTAATAAACGTAGAGTCAAGAGTGAAAAGGCCCTATACTAACTCTGAATAATGCCCTGCCAGCTGACAAGTGCTTTGTCCTCAAAACAGAGCAACTCTTTCTGGGCACATTAGCTGGTGACCATCCAGGTGCTTAAAAGTATGTGTATTTCTGATTAGTAAGCACTTTGGCAGGCACAGGTACGCTGAAAAGATCTGCCAAACAATTGGTCAAGAAGCAGCTATGGATGAGACTTCACAAGATGATTCAGCCAACATTACAGGCTTGCTGCTTTCATGGTCCAAGCAGTTCCCTTCTGCCTGCTCTGATGCTTGCCTGAATTGGTAAATCATTCCCCAGGAATCTTGTTCTCTTAGCATACAATAAGAGACCTCCAACAGGAAGGCCACTGTCTGGTTATCAAGATATACTTCTGGGAAGGGGAAGTCGTTTGTGTCTGTGCTGATTAAGGAAAGTATGAGTCTGCATTTCCTGGTTTCTTTGTGAATTCTCTAGCCACTGGAGCACTAAATGAAAGGTAGGTGTCAAAATCACTTCCCCCTTTATGTTTTTTTAATTAAAAGCATTGGTAGTTATTTATTATTGACCTCAGTTATGTATTAACTGTTCAGAACATGGTCAGTTCTGGCATAAGCTAGAAATTTACCTACCTCTAGATTTTTTTTAATATATGTATGTACGTGTACATCTCTATACACACATATACATGCATGTACATACATGTTCATGTAAGTAGAAACACATGTACATATATGTGTGTCTATGTGTATATAGATGTCTATACATTCATATACACACATAAATAAATAATAGAGTCAGTGGATAAGAAGAAACATGCAAATGTACCAAGGTACAACAGAGCTACTGAGCCACTCAGTCCTGCATCAATTCTAAGCACACGCATTAGCAAAACTCGGAGCCTAGTGGAAGCTTTTTGATTAGTAAAAGAAATCCTGGCACTTGGAAGGCAGTTGATTCTGCATCATGTTCTTGGATTTAAACACTTCGCTTTCATGAGAATCCTGCTTTAATAATCCAGGTCTCTGTGATTTAAACGTAACTCTTAAGGAGGTCTGCTATCTCCTTCTGTTCTCTAGAGCTGGATGAAAAATGATATAGTTGATAAATTTGAACAATGATAGGTGTGAGATCTTACCATGGGTTTTCTGCAACATCACCATGATGGCTAAGTATTACTTTAAGATCCTCTAACATCCATATGGTGTTAAAAGATTATCAACTCACCTCCTTTCTTGAACTGCTCATTTCCTTTCTCCTTCAGCGTTGTGCTCTCCTTTCTTCTTTTCTATAAAAGACAAGACAACGTCTCAAAGTATTTAATTGAAATGAACAAGTAGGTCAGCTGCGGTTCCAAATAAAGTATGAATGGAAATCAGAATAAAATACAACCTGAAGAATTTTAACTAGTACCAAGATCACTTGCTTGTCGTCATTTTGACATGATATACTTTGTATATCCATAAAACACTGGAGTATACCAACAAGGCAATTAAAAAGCTCCAGTTCACGGACAAGAGTATGCAGAAAGAGCATTCATAGTGAATCACGTGGTTTAAACCAGTATGTTAGCTTTTTCGCTGGCTGTTTGCTTCTCCTTTCCAATGTAATTAATTCAATCAGTGCAGGTCAACTATAAAGAATATATTTTAGGTGTAAAGTCTCAAAAGTTTTGCTTGAAGTAATTCCAACTCAAATTCACAGTTGCTTTCAGAGATACACAAGGCATGCTGAACTGACTGCATTAGAAACACGTCCACGGGTAATACTGCCCTGAAAGATTTCTTATGCAGAGAGCAACTAAACTATCAGACCCAGAGACAGGAAGATTGTTCTGTTATACACTGAAAATTACACATGCTGAGCAGAGTTGTGTTTTTAACCATGAATATCTTAACAGTACTCTTGGCACAAGCAAAGTTGACATGAATGCTCTTAGCCTCTGACACAGAAAACACAGGATGTCATCAAGCCATCTCTTCAACCTATTTACAATGGAAGTCTTTCACATGCAGACATACCTCACACAAGTAAAACCAAAGCAGTAAAAGAAAGACAGTAACATCAAGAAACAATGCTCATGCTCATGAATCATTTCTATGGTAGAAAATGATCACTTGACCACTGATTTTGTCCCAACACACATGCATACACAGAGGACTTAAATCAAGGTGTCCATAAACTACAGATCATTAAGCTATTAAAAAGCCAACGCTAGGAAAAGGAGCAGTTTCCTTTCCTGCAGATTGTGTAAATCAAGGATTAATGCAATTATCAATATCGCACAGAACATCTCCTTGGAAACAGCTAAATATAGTACTCTGTGGAGCGCTGCACCATCTCACAGCTATGCCAAGTAGCTGACAAACAATACAAAATCAGAGGTTCTCTCCTCTTGCTTTTATTGGTTTTGGAAAGTAATTCACCCGACCACTGTCACCATCTTAGTAATAACAGATCACAATGTTTTGAAAACTAGGCTCAGGGGAATGGCATTCAGTTGCGACACACAAAATTACACAGTAAAATATCATCTGACCCTTTTGATACATTTTTAGATCACTAAATTTTTTCCTATCACCTATTAAATATATTTTCTAATACTCATTGCTCCTCACATTTAAAAAAAACAAACCCACAAACCAAACCAAAACATAGGTCAGACAAAGCATGCACCACTATTTAGAAACTGGCTTTCCTCCAGGGTAGACTGACAAACCTACACAAGTCCTTCCACAATGTCACTTGCACCAATGTACACAAGCCAGCTGGTGCTTTCTAAATATGAACATACAAACAAATTCGAGCACTTAAGGCACAAGCTGCATTAAAAGTTCAAATTCTTTGTGTATATGCAGGATTCTGCTGTTCTGCACAGGGAATATGGAACTGCATTTGAAAGCTGTATCCAAACTTTCAAAGTGCCAGACAGAATAGCTCCAGCAAGGTCGCTGCCACATGTGCAGTTGGCCCTCCACGGAAAGAAATTATTAAAACATCTTGAATGCATATTCAGTGAAAGTTAGCACAACAAAAGTAATTTTCAAACCAGTGAACAAAGCAGCTGGATTTCACCACAGAACAGGTTTGGAGATGATGATCCTACTGGAAAACATGAAAGCTCTACATAGGCAACCCTCATTCAAGATAAGAAATGCTTTAAACACTAGCCCTACTGACTTCATTGCTCATGACCTATTTAGAACTGTTCTCTAAGTGCCATTAACTGATTCACTGTTGCAAAAGGTAGAGTTACAACTCTACAATAACAAAAGAAATTTTTTCCTATAAAATGAGAACTACAGCATGGTCACCTGATGCAGAAACCCTAAAAAATAAAGGAATACTGGGTGAAAAGCTTTATCTGTATTATCATTATTTTGCATAATTTATTAAATTATTTATAAAACTATAAATTTATAAAATTATTAAAAATATTAAATATTTACTCCAGTTAAGTATTCAATACTAATATAAAAAGTGGTTTGCAGCAAGAAGGCTTCAGGAAAACTAGCTTTATATTTAAAAAAAAGAGTAAAAAGAACAACAACAACAAAAAAATTCTTCAATTGTGGAATTCCTTCTCAGGTAGCCAAGAAGATTGTGACCTACAGTCTCAACAGCACAGAAGACCGACCAAGGTGGCTGTGTGGCCATGTTCGCTGGGGAAACATGGGCAGATGAAAGTTCTGAGCAACTGAAGAGCTTAAGGACTGTCATGCTGGGAAGCTGATGATTCATGCAACTCTTCTCCAAAAGCCTGTTCCTTGGTACGTCCTCTTGCCTGCAAATCTAACTGCACAAACTTGACGGACAGAGGAGTATTAGTCATATAACTGTTACAGACACAAATGTCGGTGACAGTCTTGGAGTCACTTCTGACTATTTGACCAGAAAAGGTGTTGTCTATGCATGTTTCAGAAGCCAGCAGCATTGCTAAGAACATTGTATATGGTATTATGGCTTACTCAGCTCCCTGGAAAGCAGCAATGCAAGCAATGCACTCCTAGTTCAAAACCAGTATTTCTGTTATAGCTTGACCAACATTTTCAAGATATCCCTGTAATAAGGGTTTTACGCTCATTCTGAACTGTACGAGTTTTCACAGTATTTTTCAAAAAGGTAAAGTCTAAAGGGTACCTCATGCATCATTCTGGATTTGCATTTGAAGTATAGCCCAGAAGCGATACATAGCAGCTGACTATGCCTAAAAGCAAATTCCTCTGGCTTTTCCACAAAATGTAAAAGCACAAGTATTAGCATGCCACATCCTAAACGCAGTGCCCTCTGAAGCACACTACGTATTTTTTGAAATAAATACCTAATTTATTCTTCCATATATATATTTCTTTAACAGAAATTCCTAACACAAAAGCAGTGGAAAGTCAACTATTTTGGATGAATTTACATTTCACCTGGAAGGACTGCTCCAATGGATGCTGTTAGAATCTGTCTTCTATTCAAATTCAGGGGGAAAAAACCAAACAACCACCACCACCAAAACCTAAAGAGTCTGTTAGAAGACATAACCTCCTCACTCAGTATGCTGCATTTCCAGCTTCGATGGACAATTGCAAATTGACTGGTCATCAGTTTACTGCAATCATATCAGCCCAGAATGAAAAAATTGCAAGTGACTTGTCCTTGAAACAAATTTTGCACAATGTCATTTCAGTGTCCCCACCCACTCATTTTTCAGAAAAAGATTTAAGTAGCTGCAGGGCAGGCTACCGTTTCCTCAGTGAGGGAAGTAGGTCAGACTGAACTCCTAGAATGCTCTGCCTAAGGAAAAGCTATCTTGACCCACTACGCTCCCTGAGGCTGCTCGTATACAACATTGGGGTCAGGCACAACTTTCCCAACTTACAGTCGATTATGATTTTCTGCTATTCAAAGTCAGCAAAATCTTAAGGTTTGTTTTTTGCAAAAAACAAACCTTAACACAACGATGATAAATTCTGAGTGGCAAGCATTAGCCTTTGATGCAGAAAGTAAAAAAAAAAAAAAAAAAGTCCAGAAGAAATAACTACATTTAACTAATAATATGATTCTTAAAGGATCCGATTATAAATGTTTACAGATTTGGATACTGAATTACAATTGTCCATATTCTGAAGAAATTAGGATCTTAACATAAACCTGCTGACAAGCAAGGGGTGCCGAAGATTGAGGCCTGATCTGAAGTAACGACAAAAGACAACTTGGCATTCTGACAATGAAGTACAACAATTCAAAAGCAAGGCCATCAAATACAGTCCCTGGACCTCAGCTACTCTGTCAAAAAACTCAGGGTTAAAAATAAAAGCATTAAAGCATTATTTTACTATTAGAGAAGAAAGCAACCCACACATTTTCACTGTTTGTTTTGGAAGTAACCAATGTAATAAAAGTGCTGGAAGTGAAATCCTTAAATATAGCTGGTGAGAGCTGAAGGACAAACACCCTCACAGTTTGTAATGCTTCCAAATATACTTCCTGTGGCTGTTCCTATGCATTTTATTTGATCAATTGATTTAACTTTGCTAGGGAACTGTTCTTGGCTCCAGTTTTGTCAAGAGCAGCAAATGCTCTCTTTCTTCTCTGCAAGGCTTTTTATACAGTGTGACAGTGCACATCTGCATCTCATACACCCTTTTGTAAGGTCACCAAGTAGCAGTCAATTTAAAATTACTGGAGTTCAAAGGGTGCACAGAAACAAGGAATTTAAACAGATAAGGAATATATTTTTCAGCTTCAAATACCAATTCTATTTCTGAGTCATCCATTAGTAGTCTTCTGCTTCCCCCTGCAGTTTTGTGAAGCTATTGCTGTGTCACACATTCAAGGATTTGAATTTGAATTTAAAGTTGTAGTCACTCAAAAAATCCTTTTTCAAATCTTGCTAGAGTTGTGACTTGAAAACTGTGCCAGATCTGCCCTTACACTAAAGAGGTAGAGTAATAAGCATTGCTAACACTCTGGCCAACCTCTGCTCATTGTAACCCCACTGTAAAGACGCATTACTGACAAATCACTACCCTTTCCTGAAATTGTAAGCAGCGCTTCCAGAGACAATAGGTCACATCCATCCTTGACAGTCAGTTTAAGTTAACATGCCAGACTAGCTGTGAGCATTCCTGAGTGACAATACGTGCCATTCAGTCATTCCTGTTCCAGAGGCAACAGCCTCAGGCAGAAAAGTGGAGCTGACCACTTAACCATCCCCACCACAAACTGAAAAGGTCTCAATTTGACAGGATCAGCATCTTCCAGAGAAATGCAAAAATGAACATAAGACTAAAATCAGAT